TAAAAGTTTCAGCCAATATGATATCGTTTTCTATATACATTTTATAAAGGTTGGTCGTGACGGTTGCAGTGACGCTAATGGTGATGAGTCTGATGACGCTACGGATAAAATGACAATGGTGTTAACAACAACAATAACAATAGAGGGGGAATGGTGATTGCAACAATGACACTAATAGATACAACGGCGGTGGTAGCTAGCTCGTACATCTGTAAAATCAATATGATTTGATTATCGATGGTCGATGATTGCCGCTACTAACATCTACAAAGTGTAACATGCATGGTGTATAGTTTTGCCTTACTTTTTCAAAATTTGAGACATGGGTCATGTGGAATGTTTATGTACAGCACATTCGCTAGCTCCCTCGTTTACAAAAAGCTCATCAATTATATGGTTTTATCTTTCTCTTGAGAAAATCATAACTAGAATACGTCTAAGTTCATTTTTTTATATTTCCATTACTTTTTCACAGATAATTATTTTAGTTTTACTTGTTATTATCAGGAAAGTACATGAATTGGCGTTTGCAATATTGCCTTTAGAGTTCAGTATGATGTTTATAGATAGATACATTGTTTGATTTGTAAAAACATCATATTTTAAAAAGAAAAGAGTGATAATATGTAAATCAAACTAGATCGTTGATGGAGGTGATGATGAAGATAAAGAAGATTCATATCATATCAGCATATGCTCACATGATCAAACATCTTACCTCAGGTAGCAACTAATACAATCTTGGGAATGTATAAGGGATCAGTTCATTTGACCAAAATACATTATACATATGAAGATATGATTTCAGTCATCCACGTACACATGCAGCCGTTTTCTAGTAGTATTAAATATTTTTCCTTTTTCTCTTTTCCATCTTTTTTTTCTGAACGTTAACTCTTTTCCATCTTTCTAAATCTAGTTGTAATGTAATGCAGAGTTTTTTTTTTTCTATCAGGAACACATCTACGATAACATTTGATTTTCATGCAACTAGTTAGCAACACTTTTGAACACCAAAATAAAAAGAGGTTAGTAACACTATAATTTTACCATAAGTTAGTAACTAGAAAAAAGAGGTGTCTACGCAGTACGCACGATGCTGGCGTTCCTTAACCTTAAGTTGTAATTTCTTCAAAATAAATTCTAAATTGCATGTATGATGATAATCTAAGGTACAACTTGGAATATGGCTAACTAAAACTTCGAAATTTTCCGTATGACTAAATTCTAGTTTTGATTTGAATATTGATGACAACCTACGCTAATGTGCATTTGGCTGAATTTTAAGTTTGGTTTGAAAGTCTTGTTATCCCTTTTCCAAATGCTTTAGACTAAACCTATTCCCACCAATTTATAATTTAGTGAGGGAAATTACTTAATTATGGTAGAAATTTGGAGTAAAAGAATGTATCTTAAAAAAATGTAATTTGGCAAAACAATTTGCTAGTTGGACGGTAATGCGATCTACATATATTCTTTGCTTGCACTGACAATATTATAGATTTGAAAGATAATTAAAATAACATTGATGAAACATAGGATACCCTAAAATAAATTAAATAATAATTATAGTAGTTAAGCTTAGACAAGCGTGGATTAGCTTTTAATAAAATCCAGATAATTCTCATACGTGTTTTTGTATATACTATCAAGAATCATGGTGGAAGAGATACAGAATACAGATAGATAAGAATATACTAAAACACCAATCCATGTATTAGGTAATTAAACAAAGGTAGCCCAATAGAAAACAATGTATGTGTAGTTACAACTTACAGCCAGGAACTAAGGACTGTCTTCGTTTTTTTTTTATGTAAAAGCTAAGCACTTACAAGATTTTATTTACACAAAAAGGAATTTGTTAGGCGCTTAAGAAATCTATATATTTCTTGGCATTTGAAGAATTTTTTTCTGTCTAATCTCTTTAATAGAAAGATAATCCAAGATCTTGTGCCTTGTGGCTCCTACAAAGCTTGGCAGTTTCTATATAGAGAATTTAATCTCCAATTCTCAAACATGGAATACAAAATTATGAGGAATTATATAGAGAGGTGCATATAAACAAAATATTATGTACTTGTTAATTTATCTTAAATCTATAAGAATCCCCATGTTCTCTCGGCACAACCCAACAAACCCATCAAATTCAAAGGCAATCAAATCAAAACACCATTTTAATCAAAATGTTAAAACTTATTAATTAAGTAATAAAGTATGTTTGCCGACGGGTGATATTGTGAAAGATATAGGATTCCTACTTTTGTTTTATACGAAACCCGAATCTCGTTGTGATAATTACCAAGCAAAGATGCCCCGACAGTGATTAATTAATTAGGGTCTACAAAGATGCAAACCACATCATTAGCAGCTTATTGCACTTATTTTCCAGTTTCCACACATTTCCTCTTTTGTCTATATAGTTTGATTGGGTCACATTCACACATTATACAGCCTGAGCAAGTGAGCATTGTATCATGTTTTTGTATGTCTCCGGCGGAACAAACAATGTGACATGCGTTGAATAAGCAGACTAATTATGATTGGTTTGGTCTTTTGCTATTAATGCAAATGGTTCTGTCGCACGTTTAAATAATGATTTAAATCGTGGACGTTACTATATACTGCGAGACTTTATCATGGTTCGTAACATTTCACGTATATACGTGCTTCGCAATTGAAATACTAATGCATGCTTGGTTTGGTTAAGTGAAAAAGAGCCGGTTTTATCGAACCGAGATTTAGTGATTTTTTGGTGAGTCACTGTCGTCGCCCATTTTAGTTTGGCGGGCTCGATGACAGATATTCGAATAATCCGTCGGTGTTAACAGAACAATCCGTTAATTAAAATGAAACGGCGTCAACATTGACTGTGTGCTTAGCTGGCAGACGCATCGGTGAGGTTAAGAACCAGCTGGCATGATCGGCGTTTCCATTTATTCCCATTCTGCCCCTGCGTTCTTCTATATTTCTTTTATACGTCTTATATTAGAATCTTTCTAGTTTTTCAATTATTTCTGATTATGTTCTTAAATTATCTTTTTCATTATTTAAATTTATATTTTTAGAGTATTCACCTCGTTGAACGTTTATTTGGATTTTCATATGAAAATTATTTGAGATTGAGAGGCATGACCAACACCTCGTTGAACGTTTATTTGGATTTTTATATGAAAATTATCTGAGATTGAGAGGCATGACCAAGAGAAATGTATAAATTAAAATTAAGGCATGCATAATGACTAATGCTTTGGTGCAAGTGCAATGTATCATGCATGTAATTACTAATTAGTGATTCCGTATGTCTGAACGGTACGGAATATATGGTCTAAACGATCAAACAGTACTAGAAAGTGATTATGAGTATTAACGAGTTTTTGTTTGATGAATTTACCAATAATTAAATCGTAATCCCCAGAATAGAAAAAAGAACTATGACAGGCTTTTCTAAGGACACCCGTTAACCCAAAAAAATTGCCAGCTAGATAATAAACTTTCATTTTTTTTTTCTAGCTCTGCATTTAGTAATCTTTAAAATGTTGCTCTTCTCAACAAGCAAGAAAAAAACAGGCTATTATTAATAAAAATGTTCATTTCATTTAATTACGGATAGGCTAGTGTCACAGGAGATTACTTCATATGCTCGTAAGTCGTATAATACAATACAATAAATATGGTGGCTTAAACAAAAGTTTTGCTGGCTTGATAATTACATCTCACCTCGAAAAGACGATTTGGTCCTCGATCTCGCTGTCTCAGAGTACGACGACGAGAGCTGGAAACCCTAGGTGGCATTTTCTCTTGATAACTATATTCACATATAAGTTGGTCAAATGTTTTAATAACCAAAAGTCAGGATTTGTTGAACTATCTTTTAGTTGATTAAAACTCTAGAAATACGTAACTATTTACGTTTTAAAATGTAACTTCTTACTTACTTGTTGTGATTTTGGTTTTATACACATAATTAGGATTACCATTACAGTTCCGCACGTAATTAATTGTGCGGCAAATTTAATGCGAGACTTCTGTACAACGCCCCTAAAAGTGGGTTTGATAAATGGAAAAAATGCAACAAAAATAAAAAAACATAAAAATAGTTACATGTCGTGCATTGAATATCCTACTAAGGTTTAGTGCTAAATTCTAATACTAGTAGCCCTGCTTATGCTATTGCATAGCTTGTAATTAAATAGATCCTCTACGAAAATTAAATTTGATAGAGTAACATTTCGGGAACATGAGTGAACGTGCTTGAATCTGCGTGCCTTGACATTTTGGGCAAAAAGAATTAAATCATACACTATACTACTCCATACTAATATCACGTCAGATTTCATAATTAACATTCGAGAGGTTTTACGCATTTCTTGATTCGTTGCTTGAAAATTATCATAAGAGTAAATGCATGTTATACATTACTTAACAAAATGCATTGTATGATAATTCATTTTACTAAACACGACGCAATGTATGATAAATATTCCAAGTCCATTGTATATTCACAAAAGTCTAAATTATGTAAGATATTTTTTTCGAGTACTGTGTTCGAAATTTCAAAGTCAACTATTTTTAGTCTATGTACTTTATTTATAAAAATGTACTAAAAATTAAAAACTAAAACTCGACAAATCACTGTATTTGTCCTTGAACGACAAGCAGCCGTGAAGACACGGGAGTGAAGAGAGAGACTCGTGATGAACAGCATAAGAAGATCAATGTCATAATCTTTTAATTTATCAAAGGTTAATCAATTTTTTTTTATAAAAACCAATTATTTGATTTTTCATTTTTCAGCTTCATTCTTTGCTTCCTCCTTTTCTATTTATCACGAGATCTGTCTTCTTCTTCCTTTCTCTCTCTCTCTCTCTTTGGACAGTACTTGTGTTCTGTCCAGCGTTTTGTTTCTCTTTAGCTTCGGTTGTGGTCTCTCTGACTTCTAAGAAGAAGAAGCTGAGGGAAGCCATTTTGATTCTTGCTTTTTCTTAGATCAAAGTACGAGGATGTCTCATTCTAGAAGGCTTTCCTTAGAACCTGCTATAGACTCATCATCAATCACTCCCCGATTTCGTGACTCTTTGAGTTTACAGAGACACGATGACGTCAACAAACCCGATTTCCGAGAACTCGATCTGGGCTCTCCTGTCTCTACCTTAATGCCACGTGTCTCCTCATCCTCCTCCTCTGCTGCAGCTACTCCCACTAGCAGCTCCGGCTCCTCTGGCTCTGCTTCCGGGAAACCGTCGGTGACTTCTCAGATTGGTAAGAGCCACTCCGGCGAGATTTCCACCTCCGGATCCGGAATGCCGACGGCCCGGAATCTTAAACCGGGTCACAGGAGATCCTCTTCTACCGGAACGCCATTGATCTTCTCCGGCTCTAGCTTCTACTCAGCCAGTTCCGGCGGTGGCAGCGGCGCCACGTCAGCAGTGTCGCCTACTCCCAGCGTTTTACCCGCCGGCAATATCTGCCCGTCGGGTCGGATCTTGAAAACCGGAATGGCGACTCGGACCTCAGCAAGAACAGAGACTCTGTGCACAGGAACAGGAAACTACGGACGCGGAAACGTCGTGCGAAGCGGCGGCGGAGGAGGAAGCAGCGGAAAGGGGAATCAGTTAGCAAGAGCGGCGGCGGAGAACGGTGAAACCCCGGAGGAGTTGAAGAGGATGGGGAACGAAATGTACAGAAGAGGAAACTTCTCGGAAGCTCTTTCGCTTTACGAGAGAGCAATCTCAATGTCACCGGAGAATGCAGCTTACAGAAGTAACCGTGCGGCTGCGTTAACGGCTTCAGGACGGTTAGGAGAGGCCGTTAAAGAATGCCTTGAAGCTGTTAGGCTTGATCCTTCTTACTTGAGAGCTCACCAAAGACTCGCTTCACTCTTTCTCAGGTGATCTCGTCTGTTCAAACTTCAAAGTATTAAACTTTGAAGAATTGTGATAATTGAAAAAAACCATTTTTAAAAAGAATAAATCTTTGTTGGTGTTTAGATTGGGAGAAGCAGAGAATGCAAGACGTCATCTTTGTTTTTCCGGGCAATGTCCGGATCAAGCTGATCTCCAACGGCTTCAGACGCTTGAGAAGCATCTCCGGCGATGCTGGGAGGCTCGGAAGATCGGAGATTGGAAAACGGCGATCAAAGAAGCCGATGCAGCCATTGCAAATGGCGCTGATTCATCTCCTCAGGTGAGAGCTCATCTCATCTCCACATCTTGTTGCATTTGCTTGTAAAGTTTTTCTTTTTAACTAACAGTGAGGTTTCTCGATTGGTTTGAGCAGCTTGTAGCTTGTAAAGCAGAAGCCTTTCTGCGTCTAAACCAAATAGAAGACTCGGAGTTTTGTCTATCTTGCGTCCCAAGATTAGATCATTACAGTTCTCAACCGAAAGCGAAACTCTTTGGAATGGTAGCTGAAGCTTACGTGCTCTGTATCCAAGCTCAAGTCGATATGGCATTAGGAAGGTGAGGTTTCAAAACTCGGAAATGTTGTGATTCTTTTGTTTGATTTTCCCATAGCCGGTGAGTGAGTAGAGATGATAGGTTTGTTGCAGATTTGAGAATGCGGTTGTAAAGGCAGAGAGAGCTGTGATGCTTGACCAGACCAATCCGGAGCTCGTGTCGGTTTTAAACAATGTGAAGATGGTTGTGAAGGCACGTACACGTGGCAACGAGCTGTTTAGTTGCGGGAGTTACTCGGAAGCGAGTGTAGCTTATGGAGACGGTCTCATCATCAAGCAAGATTGTTACAACCCGGTTTTGTATTGCAACAGAGCGGCGTGTTGGTATAAACTTGGTTTGTGGGAGAAATCTGTTGAAGATTGTAACCATGCGGTTAAAATCCATCCTGGTTACATCAAGGCGCTTCTACGTAGAGCTGCTTCATATGGAAAGGTGAGATTATAACTCAGTTTATATCAGTTAATAAACTCATCTGAATGACAATGTTTTGTTGAAATGTATAGCTTGGTAGATGGGAAGATGCGGTTAGAGATTATGAGTTTGTGAGAAGGGAACTTCCGGGAGACAGTGAAGTTGCAGAGTCGCTAGAGAGAGCGAGAGCCGCGCTAATGAACAGAGGACAAGAAGGATCTAAAAGCTTAGGTTTCAATAATGAAGTTGAAGCGGTTTCGACCTTGGATAAGTTCAAGAGCGCGGTAACACTTCCCGGTAAGTTTAAAAAAAAAGAAACTTTGGTAAGGTTCTTTTGTTATCTGTCTTCTTGCTCAAGTGGGAAACATTTTCTTCAGGTGTCTCTGTGTTCCATTTCAAATCATCATCAAACCGACAATGTGAAGAAATTTCTCCATTCATCAACACTTTATGCCTCCGGTATCCATTAGTACATTTCTTCAAGGTAAGACCACACTCCTAAAATGTCATTTTATATCACAGTTTCTTCTTACGTAACCGAGAGAAAATGAAATGTGAATAGGTGGATGTGGAGGAGAGCTTGGCGTTGGCGAAGGCAGAGAGTATCAGGAAAGTTCCGACATTTAAGATGTACAAGAATGGAGACAAAGTGAAGGAGATGGTTTGTCCGAGCCACCAGTTTCTAGAGGACTCTATAAAGCACTTCCTCTTATAACTTGAAAAAGGCTATCATTATCATTCTCTGCTACCCTGTGAAGGAGATGGATCGAAGAGCCTATCTAAAGACTGAGAGAAGAAATCTTATGAAAGAAGGGAAAGAGCTACTCTGTCAAATTCAACAAATTATTCATTTTTTAAAATATTCTATATTTTTTTTTTGGAGTTTGACTCTGTTCAGAAGGATTCAAGAAATGCAAGCTTCAAAATTATCAGTTTAAGTTTGGCTTGTGTTATATAATGCTCAACGGATACTGATTTTGTGTGGTTGATTCAACGAGAGACAGAACATGAATCAGAGGAAGAAAGAAGCAGAAGGGATAAAAGATTGGATCCATAGTAGTGAAATACAAATTACAAATAAGTCTCTCCTGAGACAGACACCAGTTGATACAATACACTCAAACTTAAGAGATATGTGACTAAACCAGAGTACTACATGTAACATAGACAATAATGGTACATGAAACAGAGAAACTCTACGTTGTTTCGCTATTATTCACCGCGCATTCTTAAAACATGTTTGTCCATTGCTGCTGCTGCGGGTGCACACATATCAGATCACTGCATCAAGAGCACAAGAAGATCTTGTATCAGAATCAGACTTATTCGATTTCATCCCAAAGGAAAGAAATCTCTTCTACTACTTTACCTCTGCATCGTCTCCACCTGCTCCATGTTTAGCAGAACCGTTTGTCTTATTGGCTTCATCTCCTGCACATATAGGCCAAATAAACATTTGAAATCATCTTCTGGATGCTAATTCATCAATCATTTCAAAAGAACTTTTTGTTAAGACACCAAAACATGAAAGTTGAAGAGTCCAGAGAGATTTTCACCTCCTTCTTCAGGGATGTCAGAGGTCCACAAGGTCAGATTGTCCCTAAGGAGTTGCATAATCAAGGTGCTATCTTTGTAGGACTCCTCGTTGAGAGTGTCAAGCTCTGAGATAGCTTCATCAAACGCCTGCTTAGCCAGGTGACATGCCCTGAAGATTAAAAAAAAAAAAACATAATAAACAATCTCAAATCCCTGAAACAATGAAGTCTCTCTCTTCTCTAAAGTAAATAACAAAGCCTAAACCTTTCAGGTGCGCTCATGATCTCGTAGTAGAAGACAGAGAAATTCAAAGCCAGTCCCAATCTGATAGGATGTGTAGGAGGCAGCTTAGCCTCAGCAGCAGTAGTAGCAATCTATAAAAGGTAACAAACAACACAAAACTCAATGGTAAAGCAAAGAAAACCAAACATATCCAGTGATCAATAAACACTATAGAACACCTCATAAGCTTTCAAAGACTGATCAGCAGCTTCTTTCCTCTCATTGCCAGATTTGAATTCCGCAAGATAACGGTAATAGTCACCTTTCCTGTAAAAAGCCAAACAAATCTTCTTCAGAGAACATACACATAATTTTCAACCTTAAGTTTGACAATCAAGTAAAGAGCAATTCTTGGCTTTACATTTTGTTGAAGAAGACGGTTGATTCACCCTCAGAAGCCGATGGAATCAGATGCTCGTCTAACACAGACATTATATCAATGCAGATGTTTGAAAGCTCAATCTCAACCTTCTCCATGTACTCTTTGATCCTCTTTACATTCACATCGTTCCCTTTCACTGCTTCTTTCTGCTCGATCGACGAGAAAATCCTCCAGGAAGCTCTCCTTGAACCGATCACGTTCTTGTACCCAACGGAGAGCAAGTTCCTCTCTTCCACCGTCAGATCAACGTTCAACCTCGCCACGTTTTTCATCGACTCCACCATTTCTGTGAGGTTAACAAAATCACATTTCCAAAAACGGAAGAAATAAAAATCGAAACTTTTGACTCCAATTCCGAAAATTTCCCTCTCATGAAAGCTATCGACTTCTAAAGATTAGACCTTTTGGACAAAATCAAAATTGGGTAAACCCAAACACAGAATCGAGCTACGAAGAAATTCACAGAACTCATTCGAGAGAGAAAAAGAAGAAGTGGAAGATTCCTTTACCTTCGTATCGCTCAGCCTGCTCGGAAATCTTAGCGAGGTAAACGAAAGTATCACGCTCTTTCGCAGATTCCATGACTCAAATCTCAAAAATTGGAAAACGAAAAGTATCAAATTCCGAAGCTTTTTTCGACTGATCCGAGTCTGTCTCTCTCGACGATCGATGTTCTTTTGTTTTTCCAGGCGAACGAAAGAACACACACAACGGAGAGAGAGATCTTTGAGACGCGCGTAGGGTTAAAACCGTAATTAACGCGGGATTAAGGGGTGATTTATTAGTCAATTGTCCGTGTTAGTAAGTGATTAATAAATAGGGATTATTCCTCGTGGGATCCATTTGGTTATCTTCTCTCCAAATATATCACTACACGTCATCAATGTCTATCCACCAGTCCACTCATTTTATTAGTACTTTATCTTCCCATGATAAATCAATCTATTTTCTCAAATAAATAAGAGAGGAAATAATTTTTTTGGATTGCTTTTTGGGAAAAATTGGATTATATTTCATACCAGTGTAAGAAAATCACAATTGGTGATTTCACATTCCAGGTTGTCATCTTAGAAAATTTAAAATTTCTTAATTAATTAACCAGCCGATGCGATTATTTTTTCGTAAAAATACCACAATAAGTTGGTGTTACAAAGTTACCGTAGTTAGATTTTCCACAAATACCATAAAATTAAGTTTTCCAAAAATACCACAAAATTGAATTTTCCAAATGTACCACAAAAAACTAAATTTTCTCACAAATACCACAAAACGGAAACAGAGTTGCTCTCAACATCCAAACCTTATTTGTTGTTTTTGAGAACAATAGATCAATTTTGAGTTATCATAAACAACATAAAATACATAAACAATAATAGCATAAACAACAATAGCATAACAAGAAATCAACATTATACTTATCATAAAACCATACAGAGGATTCAGAGAGGTTATTATCACATCACAGAGTAATAATAGTATAATACATAGCAGAGATTTCAGAGAATAATACAAACCCGGTAAAACCGATAAATTAAAACGCCTTCAACCGGTATTCTGCATACCGGCGGCTATACCCTTCATGGTAAGGATAACAGTATCTTCAAGCCCCGGCGCGTACTCACTCTTAGGATTCAGCTTCACAAGCTCAGCCGCTGGTTTACTAGACTCCATGTAGTCCTTAGACAAATGTGGCCTGACTTTCACGTGGAAGCTCGGGTCACGGATCTGCTTCAACGTGTAGGCTTGGCACACGTTCAATGTCGTAATGTATGGGTCACGTAACTGCAGCCTCTGCCTCAAGTAAGGATCTCCTTCAAGAATGTCCTTGTGTCCCGCTACCTGCAAACCGAAAGAAACATTCCGGTTAGTGTACCGAACGGGAATCGAACCGGAAAACCGGATTGAACATTTTTTACCTGGAGGAGGAGGCGTCTGGTTTCTTGGTAGTTAACTCGGAGCTGTTCGCCGAACGGCTGGAGCTCATCGGAGACGAGGAGGCGGTCGTAGAGAGCGGCGATGCCGGGATCTCCTTTGGCGAAAACCATTTCGACTAGGTCGATGGTGACGCGGAAGAAAGGCCACTGGTTGTACATTTCTTTGAGCATGTTGAGATTCTTGCCGTCTTTCTGGATCACTCGTTTGAATGCTCCCCCAAACCCTAGCCACACTGGCAAGTGAAACCTCGTCTGCGTCCACGCAAAGATCCAAGGGATCGCACGTAGAGACTCGATCCCTCCGCTTGGTTTTCGCTTCGACGGTCTGCTTCCTATGTTCATCCTTCCATACTCAAGCTCAGGTGTCGCCTATAAACACAAAACCCAAAATCCAAGTTGGAAACTTTTCAACTAAGGAAGAGCTATAACACAAACCCTAAACCCAAGTTGGAAACTTTTCAACTAAGGAAGAGCTATAACACAAACCCTAAACCCAAGTTGGAAACTTTTCAACTACAATCTGCTGAAGGAAGAGCTACAACACAAACCCAAATCCCAAGTTGGAAACTTTTCATTGTTCAACTACAATCTGCTGAAGGAACAGAGTAATATGAGTTGGTTAAGAGCTTACCAGACGGAAGTACTCCACAAAGCGAGGCTCTTTGAAGACGACAGAACGGTACTCTTCAGTGGCGATCACAGCCATTTCGTCCATGAGGACGCGCCACTCCGGTTTAGGGGAAACCGGTGGATGCATGCCGTGCTCGAGTGTAGCAGCTGTGAAACGCTGAAGTGTCCTGAAGCACAAGTGTTCTTCTCCGAAAGACTGTTCGATGACTTCTCCTTGAACCGTTACTCTCAACTGCCCGTGAATGGTGTCCGGAGGCTGAGACAAGATAGCAAGATGAGTCGGTCCTCCTCCTCTCCCCACGGTGCCACCTCTCCCGTGGAACATCGTGAGCTTGACTCCGTACTCTTTCGCCACCTTCACGAGCTCTTCTTGCGTCTTGTACAGCTGCCAAGCCGCGGATAAACGGCCAGCGTCTTTGCCTGAGTCGGAGTACCCGATCATGACTTCTTGCTTCCCGTTGATTCTGTTTCTGTACCACTCGATGGAGAAGAGACGTGCGACGGAAGCAGGAGCGTTTTCTAAATCCGCTAGCTTCTCAAACAACGGGACGACTCTCAGAGGTTGAGTGATTCCGCATTCGCGCTGCAAGAGCTCGACAGCGAGGACGTCTGATGGAGCAGTGGCCATGGAGATGATGTAAGCACCGAAGCTGTCGAAAGGAAGCTCTGAGATGACTTTGAACGTGTCCAACACGTCAGCGACCTCTTCGGTTTTGGGAAGGTCAGGTCCGAAGAGAGGTCGCTTTCCGCTTAGCTCAGATAAGAGCCATTCTTGTCTTTTGTCCTCTGGCCAGTCTTTGTAAGATCCGATGCCTAAGTGCTGCGTGATCGCGTCCAAGACGTCTGTGTGTCTGTCGGATTCTTGACGGATGTCTAGCTTCACAAGGGCAAGGCCAAATGTAGACACTTGGCGCAAGAAATCGAGCAAGCTTCCATCAGCGATTGGTCTGTCACCGCAGTCACATAGCGACCTGTAACATAGCTCAAGCGGCTCCAAGAACTTTGGAAAACAATCAAAAAGTCAGACAAGAATCAAGAAACAATGCTTGTTGATTTGCAAAGAGCAAGAACACAAACCTGATCCACACTTGTGAAAACTGCATCTTCAGGAATGTCTGAGACTCCGCTTGAGAGTAACTGACGTGCACGCTCACGTGTGTTGTACAGCTTGTCCCTCACATCACCAAGAATAGCTCTGTACGGCTCGTTCGCAGGGATTTGTTTCCAAAATTCTACAACCAAATCATACATCAAAACCATAATATAACAACAAAAAAAGCTAAGACACATTCTAAAACTACCAAGAAGGTAAACACAACACACCTATGTAGTGTTTGGCATCTCTTTTGGCACACCTTTGACGCTCTGCACGAACACGGAGCTCCTCATTGCAACGCCACATTGACATCTGCAAAACAAGCAAACACACAAATCCAAAAGTTAAAAACAATGTCATTAATTAACAACCAAGAAATTAAAAAGCTGCAATGAGATTTACCTCAAACATAAGATCTTCTATCTGGGAGAAGTAGAGATTAGCAGCCATCATTCTTGCTAACAAGCATACATCTCTAGTCACTTCAGGAGTCACTCGCGGGTTTCCTGGATTTACAAATGTTTAAAATCGTTTCAAGAGAAGGAGAGAAAGAAGAGTGTTAAGTGTGTAGTACCATCACGGTCTCCTCCCATCCAAGAAGAGAACTGAATGAGAGGCGCATTGTAAGGAACACGCTCGTTGATTCCAATGTTCTTCAGAGCAGTGTCAACACGTCTCAAGAACTTTGGAACTCCTTTCCAGATCGTCTCATGGAAGTAACTCATCCCCGCTCTCATCTCATCTTGCGGCGTTGGAGGCGTTCTTCGGATTTCATCAGTGCGAAACGCAGCTTGAATCTGGTTTCCAACAAAAAAAACAGAGTTTTTAGTATAAATTCTTGCATTGAAAACAGAGTTCTTGTTGGTGTGTGTACCTCTCTTTGCAGAGCTTCATCGAGTTCTTGTTTATCATCAGGAGTAATGTCCTTCGCGTACAGCTGCGTCAAACAATCACGAATCCTTCCAAACTTTTGGAGCAAAGAGCGACGAACAGATTGAGTAGGATGAGCAGTTAAAACCAAGTCAACAGTCTGGTTCTTGAGAGCATCAAAGACTTCTTCAGGAGTCTTGTTAAGCTGCAGAAGCCTTTTGAGAGTCTCTTCAATGTCGGATTCAGTCGTCGCAGAGGCCTCGTCGGCGAAATCTCCCTTCTTAAGCTTCTTGATCCTGCGACGGTAAGCAATCTGGACTTCCTCTGCCAGATTAGCCAAGCTAAGCATGTTGGAGAATGATTTCGTGACTACGATTGAGTCTCCTGGATCTAAACTCGTCAGCATGTTTCCGAGCTCCTCTAGCTTCGCCGTGTTGCGGTTTCCGTCGTAATCGGCAGCAACCTCGTAGCATTCTTGAACCTTTTGACAAAACGAAAAACAGAACGAAAGTGAAAAACTCAATAAAGTTTTGATTTTTTTGCATGACTCAATTAGTGTTTTGACTTCTTATCTGCTCAATTTCACAAAAAGGTTTGAGATTTTGGGAAAGTTTGAGCAGAAACTGCAAACCCAAATCATGATTTAGTGATGGGAAGCCTAAATGTATCTCAAAGTCACAACAGAAACAGAACGAAAGTTAAACTCAATCAAGTTTTGATTTTTTTGCATGAGAAAGCTCAGTCAATTAGTGTTCTGACTTCTGATCTGCTCAATTTCACAAAAAGGTTTGAACTTTTTGAATACTTTGAGCAGAAACAACAAACCCAAATCATGAATTCCTGATGGGAAGCCCTAAATGTGTCTCAAAGTTTGGAATTTTAACACAAAGTTTGGATTTTTAACAGAACAGAGTGAGAGAGTGATATCAGAGGAAGAGGGAAACATACGAATTCTCTGACTTCCTCGCCATGCAAGTCCTGAAGGATGTCTAGGAATCGATCCAGTAACAGAGCATCGTACTCGACGAGCTTGTCGTCTTCAGAGACTTTCCCAGGAGCGATAAGCCTGAGCTGAGCATCAATGGAACCCATCTTCTTCAAGTTTCCAGTAGCCATGGTTGAAGCTTCTCTCTCGCTCGCTGTGTCTCCTTATCCCCTTTTTATAAAATCCCAGACCCAAATCTAATTAAAACCCTTTTAATCACTAGATTGACACAATCGGCGAAAATCAAGGAGAGATAATAATAATCCGATAAAGCTGGAAGTGAAACACGTCAAACAAAAAGATTCACACTTTTAAGAGTTTGGATTAATTACGGAAAATGGAGAGATTACGGAAAAAAAGGGGAAAAAGAGTGGCGTAGTGAAGTGGAAGTATCTCGTGAACCCAAAAACAAGTGAAAAAGAAGATCGAGAAGTTTCGTTCACGAGGAAGACGATGGACAGAGAAGAGACAGGTGATAAAGTATGACAGTTTTTTTTTTTGGTGAGTTTAAAGCCTCAGAAAAAAGATCTCATAAGTGAAAGCTAATCCATTCGATGTGAGCTTATTTATAGCCGAAAACACTCTCTTCAGTAGTGTGAAATTAGGAACTGGACCAAACTGCATGTGTACGGTCTTTTGGTGACTTTAAAGTGGACCGATGAGTCACCGATTTCGACTTTTCCTTTTTCTTGTTTTGGCTTCTTTTAATATTTCACGAAACCAGGACATCATTAGCTTGTTTTTTTCTTTTAATCCTATGCTTTTGTACGAAAGCATCAAAGAAATATATGAAAGGTTTACAGGTAATTACGGACATAAGTGGAATATGCCAACGGATATGCTGATTTGCTTCTTATCTCCTAAAATTTGTGAGGCAGAGCAATATAGTTTCTCTACTCATTTTTATAATGACTTGTTAGATCAAATCATTCGAGATAAAAGAAATATGAAGCAGTATAAAACTCTCCAAGAAAACATTTCAGTTTTGACCTATCAGAGAAAGTAGGAGATTTTGTCTAAATAGGGATTCTAAGTAAAAATTATATAAACTACCTCTGGTAATTTATTTGGTGAAAAGAAGAAAAATCCCAAGATTTGTGGAAGGAGCCAGAAAAAGAATTCAGCTTTTCTGACCTTTGACATAAAACGTACCACGTCTATTACGTACTGGTCATATATTTTTTAATCAATAATTATATATTTTGTTCTTTATTTGATTCTCGAATCTAAGAACAAATGGCCAACCAAAGATTCCAACGGAAGGAAATAGAATCATATATATAAAGACCTTATCGTATCAATTTATTTTATCAACGACCTTATCGTATCAAACTATATATTGCATGACAAATGGGATAATATTTGTATATATTAGATGTACTTTATCCACTATACCCATCATTTTATTCAGTATGTATACCCATCATCATAGTTTTCTCGAGCTTTTTTTCTATTTCAGTTCCAAGACATAGTATTTTTTTTCTATTGCATATTTATTGACGAACTCTAAGGTTTTTCTTTCGTTTTTATTAGGTGCACAATATGTATAATCAAGTAAACAAGCATCAAACGATATTATTAAAGGTTATGTGAGCTTTAGAAAATGTGAAAGGGCAAAGCAAGTTTTGTATATAACCTTTTAATTTCTTCAAGAGGCGGAGAAAAGAAACAAAAATACCAATATTAATAGTTTTTCATTTATATGAGTGGTTATATATCGAATAAAATTGCTCTCATTTAGTTCTGTATATACTCTATCCACTAAAATTTTACATATATTTTGTCTTCTCTCTCACGTTGAGTATATAAGTGATATTTTTAAATTGAGAGAAGAAAACAAACAACAGTATATGAGGGTTATTTTTGCATGATTCAGTCATATCTTCTAGATGGACTCGAATCACATGTTCTATGTTCTACAACTACATCATCGTCACTCGTCTAGTATAGCATTATAATTTTTATCACTATTAATCAGCGCCATTGTAAATTTATATATACAGCTTAATTATTATGAAATTGCTGTACTTTCAATAAAAGCATAACTTTTTTTGTTTCAATAAAGCATAATTTATATCTGAAAACGAAATTTCAGATAGTAGTGGGAATATATGCTAACTGTTCTACGGATATTCTTCTGATATTTATGTAACCGAACAAAATCCTATGTGCATACTAAAAATGCCGTGTATATATATGTGACAAAAGCTACATTCCCCATATTGTTATTTGGTTTAGTTGTATGTGCTATATATATAGGTTGTTGATTAAATATATTCACATATCACATATGCATAATGACAGAAAAAACAAGAGTAACTAAAGTGATATTTTTCAGAGATTACGATCGTACCGACCAAATAAAACGTCCTATGACAAACCCAAAAGGTCAAAACAAACGTGATCCGTGTTCCAAAACTCAATTTTGAGTGGTCCAAGTTAACGAGAGAGAGATATCTAGAGGTCTATTTGCACGAAGCTTCCTAAAGATCTTAATTAATTATCAGGGTTAATATACCTCAATAAATATACACATACGCACGAACATTATTCACGAAAGCAAATAACTAAAAATCAATAATATATAAGCAATCTAACATCTGAATGGAAAGATTATGTATATCGATCAAGACGAACATCCATGTGGATGTGCGTATGCATATACACCGCTAATATGTACGCGGCTTGCTGATTGACACGACAAAAGATAAAGAAACACGACTCTAGTGGTTTAGGAATTAAAATGACGAGAAAATATGGCAAAGAAATAAAACCAAACAAAAATAATCCGGCGTGTGCAGTGGCGGACCTAGAAACATATCTTAGTTGGGTCAAAATTAAACTTAGGTGTCATTGGCGAGATTCGAACTTGCGTTTGGGGTGTCAACAAGAAGGATGTTACCAGTTGAACTGTTGCATTTATGTGTTTTCTTCTTACAAATAAAATTATTACCTTATTTTAGGTGTATCAAGTGAACCAGTATCATTACAAGTAGGTCCGCCTTTGGACGTGTGAAGTTGAAGCAAATGGGAATTTTGTTGTTAAAGAAAATTATAAACGTCTAAAAAATGATGAAAACGAAACAATGCCGTTTCTTTTCTCGTCAATATCAAAAAAAACTTCTGAAAGGTCAGGCCCAGTTAATTCTGAGTGAAATAAGCCCACACTCATGTCAATCAGCCCACTTAGATTCAGCCCAATATCAGGTCGCATTGGAACGAATAAGACGGGTGTGGATCGCACGCAATGTGTTGAACCGTATAGGGCTCATATAAGGAAAAGTGACATGACCTGAACTTTTTTAGTATGGTGTCAATTGGCTGATACAAATTAAACTGTTTGTTTTCATTTCGCGACATTGACTCGATGTACGTATGTGTAATCAACATTTACATCCACGATTAATCTTTTAATTATTGTCTTCCACTTCTTTTTATAAAAACTTTCTCACGCACCCATACAATCTCTAAACAAACACTCCAATCATCGGAGCACAAATTAAACACCTGATATCATGTGAAATGTATACTATCAAACCGGTTCAAAACTAATCTAAAACCGAAGTAAATTCGGGTTAAAGTGATGAATAGACAAAAAGGGAAAGAAACAATAATGAAAAATGGGGGTGGGTGGGAAGACAAGGGGAATCACTATCAATAAAAAGAGAAGCAGAGAAAAGATTTGTGGGGGCAAAGGACTCTTGCATAAGTGTGCCTTTGGGAGTGTGACATTTTTGGCAACTCATGCGTGAAGATGTTTCTTGCCCATTGTTTCTTCCTTGAACATGATTTTAGATATGTATCATCTATTTTTAGGGTTCTTTTTTCTTCTTTTTCTTTTCGCGGGTATCAAAGTAACTTTGCCAAACCAAGTGGTGCTCCACATGTAGTAAGATAGGTTGTCCTATTGATCGAAGACAAAACTCGATACATTGACTAGAACATGGTTACTCGGATTATCATGTTCATTAGAACAGGAACTATTATAGACCTTATTTTAGCAGTTTAGAAGTAGTTTGCTATTAACATGAAAGAGTTAGTGATGACTTAACGACAAAATAAGATACTATATATAACTTACGCATTCGTTTAAAAAAAAAAAAAAATACTTAGACGTTTGACTAGTGCTTGTAATGTAGTATACTGGTTTTTATGAGTGTTGCTTCCATGATCTTGACTTAAAAAAAATGGAGATTCTCATTATTCCATAAAAAATATGCAAGCACAAATACTTCAATTAACGAATAAACAACGAAAATAAAATATTAGCTAAAATTTTGAGGTAGAAATTCGAATAGATTGATTAGTGTGGTTGAAACTTTCGTTCGTTCCAGATTTTAGTTTTCACTGTATTCAATACCATGCACTATATATGCAATTGGGCTATTTGATAATGAGTTCCCAGCAAACTAAACACCAACAAGAAATTTTATCATCTTCGTTCTGTATAAGAGAGTAGTCGATTGCTAAAAACAAACCGTACAAATGAAAATAGTGGCATTGTATAAAGATTCTTAATTCTAACAGGGTGTAAGAAAAAGACGAACTACGTTTAAAGCAACCTCTGAAAGAACCGTACACTGTCACTAGATGACAACAAAAGATTTCAATTTAAAAGTGATAAAACCCTAGAAAACGTCTGACAACGTCGATGCCACTTAATTTCTTATAGATTTTTGGAAAGAGATAGTAGAATCTTTCAACAGTTACCAATCTATGTATTTGTATAACAACTATACACGCACAGTATACCTTTACATCTACTTTTAATAATGTGGATTTAGATCCACAACATAAATGGAAATATCAGGTCTTGCATCGTTGACCCATTTCTAGTATGTTTCACTGCACATACAGTAACAGATATATGTACATACATTGTGACTAAAGTAAGAAAGTAAGATACAGTAGATGTTTATGTTGTTGTTTCTTTGGTAAATGTCTTGTTGATAAAAAAAAAGCTGAATAGTTATCTTTTTTGTATGTGTTAAGTTTTATTGGTTTCTAATTCAAAACTAATTAGTAACAAGTGGAATATTACATGTCTCTTAAGTTTTATTGATTTAAATTGTGAATTTATTTTTATGAAAATACTTTTTAAAAATACTGTTTAGTTATGATATAATAATAGCTATAGACAGACAACCAATCCATTATTAATAGTGTGGGCTCATGAACTTTAAGAATGCCACCCATATTCAAATGAATCAAACCTGAATGTATAGACAACTTGGTTAACATTAAAAAGTTACCAAAAAAAAGCAAGAGAAGAACAAAAACAATATCGATATGTAGATCCTATAAACAGTAAAATTTGACAGGTTGGAAATAATTGTGTATTCACAAGTCTAATAACACACCACATGCTCTATTTTGTTTCTTTCTCGTTTCCCTTCATCTTCAGTAGATCACATGGTAGTTAACTTATTTTAGTTCCATTTAGTTATATAAAGTTGAAGAAAAAAACCATATTAACAAAATAATTGACGGACAATCTTGAATTGTTTTGACTACATACTAGAAGATATGACTGGACATACTAGAAAATACGACAAAAATAGTTTATATCATAGTAACGAATACAAAAAAAAAAAAACCATTTTCTATGACGCCCTTATAAAATAATTAACTCTTTGTAATCTGTTATACCTTTTACATTTTTTCGTAGTTTTAAGAAGGAGCATATTAATTATTTCTCATCATGAAACGAATTTTTGAATTGTTAAAATACTAATGTATAGTCGTATAGAGTGTTATACAGCTTGCCATCATACGGGATTCGACCAACCAATCCGACGAATTTCAAATGTAATACATAATGTTTTTTTTATTTCGATGATCTTTTCCTATGATTGCAACAATACAGAAATATTAATAACAAGAATGAAAATTTTACTTCCTCTCTTCCATTAACAAAGTTTTAAATAATTTAATATTCTTTATTTCTAAACTAATAATAACATCCATTCTTTATAGACTTTCATGAATATATTGAGACTGTATAGGAATTACAAATTGATACCACTATCGATATGATAGCCAATGCAACTTGTCGCTAGTCATCATCAACAAATCAATGAGAGTATTATTCACTAGGTGCTAAGATATTATATGTGCAATTGATTGCTATTTTTCATTGCTGTAACAGTGAAAACCCCATCATTAAAGTTCTACGGATCGAATATACCGAAGCAATTATCGCTTTTATGAAGATTAGCCGATGCAATTTGGTTACAAAATGGCCATAACCGTACAATCATATACTCATATTACGTACAATATATCAATATTTTGGTTTTGTTTTGAACATCAAGTGTAAAATGGTTTTGCAGTCCATCTATAATGGTATTACTTGAAATTTAAAATTTAAAAATGTGGGGCCGACGAAACTGATTTTCCTAATAGGTTATCCTTGCTTCTCCTCAATATGACGTAAATATCAGGTTTTCTTACTTTTAAATCATTACAACTTAGAATATCAAAATCGTCCTTACCAAGTTACCATAACATAAAAAAATGGAGTATGATTAATGCAGATTTTTTTGTTTTTCAATCTATAATTTAATCCGTTTATAGAGACGTTTGATCTGGTTGAAATTCAAAATTTGGCACAAGTGAATGCTAATGTGTATAGCCACATATATTATATATTAGTATTATCCTATTTCAGATAAGCGGTTAATTTGATGGAGCATGATAATAGATACCATGCATATGTAACATAGATATGTATCAAACTAAAATATGTATTATATAGTGGTTAATGAGTCATAAGTCATAACCTATTATACCTAGTCTTCATGAACCAATCAGGGACATAGATGCTCACTCTACTTTACATCTTGCTCAATTATTTCGTCACTGTATTATTATTTTATTGCATATCACAAGAAAATGGAAGGACTTATGTCTAAATCATTCGTCAAATTAGGCTTTAATTGGATTTTGGAAAGCATTATTGTGCAACGTATTTCGGAGAAAGGGACAAGAGCCCTAGTTAATATCAATTTAAGCATCTATTGACAAATTGACGGTGATCTTGAACGGTAAGACAAAATCGAACTCCCTTTTTGAGTCGTCGATCATTCTTGTTGACCAAAAACAAGAAAGAAAACTCGATCCATTCTTTTTTGTTGTAAAGATGAAATGTTTACAATGAGCATTAAAATCATGGTGGAAACAGAAGTCTCAAGCCCTAACTCTTAACCAAACATACTGAACATTTCACCATTAGACTAACATGTATATAACTATACCTTAATTATTCGTTATTAATTCCATAGGAATAGAAAAATGGGAGATAATCCAACAAGAATGTAAAGAGGAAGAAAGAAAGCAAAGTTTGAAAGGGGGCCCATAACATGTCCTCTCTAACGTCAACATCATCTTCCATTACTACTATTACTTTCACGCTCTCATCAAACTCACTCAACCTTTCATCTTTCTTATTGCCTAGTTCGTCAGATCCATAAAACACAAAATGATCCCTTAACCTTCTTCACCAACATCTCCCTCTCTCTATCCCTCTCTCTACACTCAACAAGATCATATCATGTCATCTCCTAGAGATAGAGGAAAGAGCTTGATGGAATCATCAGGATCAGAGCCACCGGTGACACCAAGCCGTTACGAGTCACAGAAGAGACGCGATTGGAACACTTTCGGACAATACTTGAAGAACCAGAGACCACCCGTGCCGATGTCTCACTGCAGCTGCAACCACGTGCTTGATTTCCTCAGGTACTTAGACCAGTTCGGTAAGACAAAGGTGCACGTGCCTGGCTGTATGTTCTACGGACAGCCTGAGCCACCAGCTCCTTGCACGTGCCCTCTCAGACAAGCTTGGGGAAGTCTTGATGCTTTGATTGGACGGCTTAGAGCGGCTTACGAGGAGAACGGTGGATCTCCGGAGACAAACCCTTTCGCAAGTGGAGCAATAAGGGTTTATCTGAGGGAGGTTAGGGAATGTCAGGCTAAGGCTAGAGGGATTCCTTACAAGAAGAAGAAGAAGAAGAAGCCAACGGCGGAGATGGGTGGTGGAAGAGACGACTCTACTTCTTCCTCCTCCTCTTCCTTCAGCTTTTCTTAAGATTCTCCATCTTCGCGAAACACTATGTGGTAATACATTCTCCAAACTATGTGTTTATTAATTAATTTGAATATGTGCCTTTGAAAACATTCACATATATACATGCATATAGGCCATTATATATGTCTATACATCTATAGATTTTGTTTCTTGATCTCTTTATTAGAAACTTATGAGACTGTGGTTTCACTAGCTAGCAACATCTCCCCTATATATTTGTTTATATGGTAGAATGGTCTATTTATCAAAAGATTCAAAACCCTAACTGGAGAAATAGTGGGTCCTTTGGGTTCTATGATAGCCTTGATCTGCAGATGTTTGGATTAAAGACCGGTTTGTGATTAGATCTTTGCTTTTGAATGGAATTTTTTTTAGATGAATTCTTTTAAATCCTTTTATGCCTTCCATTACTGAATGAAATGAATGAAAGTAGTAGATATTAGTTTTGGAATGGTAAATACGAAGTTTTTTTTCTAGTTTCTAGCATATTCAAGTATGAAATTTCTTTTAATGGACCATTCATTACATGTTCTAAAGAATTAAAGTCTTGAAACCTAGACTTATTAAAAAACCTTAAATTGAAACTGCATCACATTTTGTGGAAATTATAGATTCTTTTCAAGTTATCCTAGAGAACCACTCATTCAAGTTTTGAAGAAAAAAACATTTGATTCTCGATCCAAGGATGGATTATTCTTTTTTAATCAACCACAAACATGTGTGTGCGAAAGGAGAGAGAGATACACACATTTTTACCACAGTTGTTTAAATAAACAGTGGTTCAAGGAAGTAATGATTGGCTCTTAGATTGCTTCTCTTTACAGATTTTTTGTAGATTTGGTTCCCCATATATTGATGATCAAGAGATAAATCGATTGAACCCTTTTTCTTCATTATTTAACCTAAAGTAATCGATTAATAATTGAGTTTCCATGATTGCTCTAAGGTTAATAAGGTTATCTCAGAATAGAAATTTACACACACATACTAGTTTAATGGTTAATTCATGCTTTAAATGTCTTGCAATGTGGGTCTTAGGAGAATGATCTCAATATGAACAATTCAACTAAATCTAACATTTTCAAGCATATTTTAGACTCTCAGATCCTAGAGCTAGCTTGGATTGTGACATATTAACTAGAGCTTTTCTGAAGGCTGTTTAATGCATGAACATTGGGAGTATACATTGCCATTTTCTAAGATATATATAGAGTAAGATTGTGTGGGACAGTAAGTTTCTCTTTACATCCACTTAAATCACTTTTTCATATTCCTTGATATATATATATTCAATCTTAGGTTCATAAATATGTCTATAATTTGCTCGACTCATCTTTTTGAGTCTTA